AACAGTAGTGTAGAAAAAAAATCTACATTTAAAACTGTAACTTTTTTTTGTAATATATACATAAATCAATCGCTTAAACTTGTTAAAGAAGTGTTTTTATTCCTTCGGCTAAAATTATTTTATTACTTTATTCAGTCTGGTCAGAAAAATGGCTAATGGTTTTGCAGATGTGTCCAATTTTTCTTCACTCTAAATTAATTTAATGAGTGATTTAGCCTTCGGGCATTTCTCCACAGATGAAAAATAACATTCATTGTGGTGTGCCACAGTAGCAAAGAAGCTAAAGATTCAAATGCTCAATTTTTGGAAAGGAAATCCAATCTGAAAGGCATATTTTAAAGGATTTATTCAAAAATGAGACCGGATGTGTTGCTGGAGCATTTCAGTTTGCACCAAGATTTGCCAGCATTAATTATTCAAACACCCCTGAGTTATTTTGTGACTACAGCCAGAGCAAGATGCTTGCAGACACAATTAATCGTGTTTAGTCAGAGAACACAGTTGCCTTTCTGCAAACATTTGCGCTTGAGTGAGAATATCCAGGATTTAGACTAATTATCAGCACAAACAGTTGTAATTTGATGGAAAACTCCCAAAGCTAAAACTAAAAACGTGAGAAGAAGACAACGACCTACTGGTATCTCACATCCATGACGACTGACACCCCTATTTGGGCAGGAGGAACAGGAAGCTGTTTATTATTCCTCACACTCGTGCAGCATTGAAAAGGCAGACATGGGAAGCTGTATTTGGAAACACATGACATCACCAAGGAGGCATTCTGGGACTCTAAATCCACAGCACGGGCCGCATTGACATTACTCTTGCTCTCTCATTCTCTCTCTAGCGGAACTTCTCCTGTTAAGGCAAGTGCTTCATCTATTTTTAGCTCACACGGCTCCCTCTCTCTCCTCAGGCCGGCTGCGTTCCTGCATCAGTGCGTGGGCTGACTGCGGGCGTTGGGTGATGCGATACGCACAAGTGCTGCATTGAAGAATCACTGTGCATCTCTCTTCACAGCGAGAGATCGCGAGTTATTCAGAGTTGAAGATCCGATGACGAGGAAGATAACAGCACTTAATGAAATCTCACCATTATCCACTACCGCGAGAAAGAAGCTCTTGCAATGATATAAAGGAATTTCATCCATTTTAATTACTTCCGCTCATTTAATTTTATCACTAGACTGATAGGATTTAAGCCAGAGATCATTATATAGGCTATATTTTGTAAATCAACTAGTGGGTGGGTTGCATGACTAACTATAGTTGACTTTTCGTTCTTAAAGGAATATTTCCCTCAAAAATAAAATTCAGGCATAATTTACTCACCCTCAAGTCGTTCCAATTTTCTTCGAACTGCAAAGAACACTAGCCAACCAATGAGATTTGTGCTTTTAGTCACATGCCCAAAAATGACGCAAAGGCAAGACAATTACAGAATTTTCTTTTTTGGGTTAAGTCTCCTTTTAAGGAAATTCTGTATAATTGGGCTGGTTTTAAATTCACCTGACCCTGATAGCATTTTTTACAGTGTAAGATGCATGTTTGCATTCCAAAGAACATTTTGAACATCACAGTGTCTTAAAATCACAACACTCATGGTGGGAGGTAGATGTGATGCAGTGTTGCTTCATTTAAAGACAACTTTTTGTAGAGGATAAATATTTAAAAAAAATCAAAAATATTTATAAAAAAATTTAATATGAGAATACATACAAAATAAATATATGTAATATAAATACAAATCATAACACAGGCCTGTTCTACATACATAAATTAGTCAACAGCACTGCACTAATCAACTAGGTTGTTGGATGACTAGTCGACATCCATAAGAAATAGTATAACATGGGGGACAACAAGTGCGCACACACCTCAGGCATGTGAAGTGTGCTACCCGTTATGCTTTAGGTCTTACATTATTAATGCGGCCGCTGTGGTGCACATCCTTTAAAAACCCTCCAGTCCATCTCAGAGACATGCTAACAACTCCATGAAGACAGGAACATCTTGAAGCTGACTATAGTGGACAAAAGTGCTTGACTGAGATTGTGTGACTGATTGTAAGGTTTCACGGCCAGTGAAGGCCCATCTTCAGAGCTGCCTTCCATATTGCATACAATTATACTAAAGCCAAAAATAAGTCTCCATCAATTATTAACGCTGGGCTAAGACCTCACTTAAAGATTTATTTAGGCACGCAGCAAACGGTTGGGTCCACATGGCTGATGCTATGGTTCCCACGTGCTTAAATGCGTGCACCCTCACCCACGCATATGTCTGCATGAGTATAAATTCATAACTCAGACTCATTCTGCCTGTGGCCAAATTGGATAAAAGTTTCCACTTCATGCCGATGTTCTCTTGCAAGCTCTTTCAAAGCCTATGGCCCCTAACTAACACTGACATTCAACATATACTTACAGAACAGACCTGATCTTAACGAAACCTGTCACTCAAAGAGGAACACACACTTCTTTGTCTTGCTCATGGAAATCAATCAAAAGTACTCACTCAGACAACAACCAGACAAAGGAACAGGTATGTTTTGTGGTTATGCCATGCATCTGGTATGCTCTGGAATACCATGTGAAGGGATGGTACTATGGCACCTTTTATTAGTGTCAAGAAATGTAAGACAAGAATGAGACTCAGAAAATAACAGACACATGCAACAAAAGTGGGAAGCACTCTTGATTATATACTGTTTGTACAATATATACAGCAATTTTTTTAAAATATGTTTTGGCTTACATAATATTTCTATGCTAATAAAAAATGAGAAGGAACTTCTGGGATTGTCATGCTATAATAATAATAATAATAATAATAGAACATTTTTGCAGATATTGGGCCAATATCGTGTCAATATACCGTGCATCCCTAATAAAAGCCACATGGTAATGGTGATGTACAGAAAGTTAATGCCTGGCTGTCATTCATTGTAAAGAACAGGCACAGACAAATGACATAAGCATTACTGGAATAACTAGAAGCATAAGATAGTTAATACATGTGGGAGGGGGGAGTTTACTGATGTAGTCTGCAAAACAGTTTAAAAAACAAAAATAACAAAAATATTAGCAAACAAACAACTACTTGTTTGGGACACATCCTGTACTGTATTTTCTGCATTTTATAAAATATCTATTGATGGGCACTATTCAACATTAAAAGATATTATGTGCATTATCATAATGACACACATGCATATGACATTAAGGCATAAAACAAATACAGACGTGCTGTAATTTGTCTAGTGATGAAAGTCTCTAGTGAAAAGGCTAAGAGAACTTCTCATAAAACTTTTTTCATTAAACTTTTTCATACAGAGATATTGCTGCTTTTTACAATGCTGAGACAGCAGCAGAGAAATATCTCTCCTGCAGCCCAAAATATAATCTCATAAGGTCTCCAGCTCGGCTGTACTGTTTAGATATTGAGAATGTTGTAAATCAGGTAACTAATATCAGGATGAGATGAAGCTGAATTCATTCAAATAATAGCTTTTGAATTATCAAATTAGAGCTGGTATCGTGATCTCCATTGAACATGTATTCAAAAGACACCAGCAGTGAAATGAGAAAGTGAATGCTCAGAAAATTATTCTGAGATAAATAATGGAAGTATAACCAGCCTCTCCCTCCAGTCCTCTTCTAAGATAAAACGTCTATTCAAATTTGCTGCTGCGACACTGATGTGCTTTTAGCATAATCTTGAAGAATGACAGATTATGCAATAGATTTAACAGCCAATCCTATCAAGAGTCTCACATTCCACTGAAGTCCATCTAATCAGACTCCAACTCTACCCAGAGTGATGCACTGGACACACAATTGGACAAGGATTGTTTGTTTGAAGTTAAGCACTGAGGTTCAAACCCACACTCTGGTCAATAAATTTCCCCTTGGAGATCAAGAAATCTAAGTCGAACCTGATTGAAATCAAATGATATTCAGACTTACAGGTCTAAAATGCTCTTTTCAGCAAGATACCAAAAGAACAGAACACTTCCTGGAAAGGTAAATGCCAAAAGACATATTTGTATACTGATATTTGGTGCATCCATTGGTTGCTATAGTGTTTACTGCGCAGTTAGTCACTGCTAGCTACAAGGCACAGTCACTTGTAAATAATGAATGGACAGCAACATTACTGAGGAAAGAAAAACATACTTGTACTGTGACTTCAGATATGTTCTCTGAATGTCATCTCAAAAAGGGTTGACATACTCAATTTTTCATCAGGGCATAATTCATACAAGGGCTGGAGCGAAAACAAATGATTCACAGATGCCCTATTAATGCACAAAACTTCATAGTGTATTCAAAATTTACATTTTTAATTGATTAAAAAAACATGCAAGACAAAATATTATAGATAATAAAAGGTGTTGTGATGTGCAAAAACTTCCACTAAACTGAAATATTTAAAGAATATGACTTTACCTAGCAAAAATGGGACGGATGCCATCTGAAGTGGCATGCTAAGAAGAAAAAAATTACACAAACGTTTTCATATGATTTCAGGTACTATTAATGCATTGTTTGTTCTCATGCACAGCCGAATGGCAAAGTTTAAGGTCATGAAAGGGCAGAGCAGGTAACTAGATTTTCATATTTTACTGCAAAAGAAATGCACACTTAAGACTTTTCGTAAAAAGTTGAGATGCGTCAAGAATGGTTTTATAATCTCATCATGACTCCCTAAATCTAAATCCTAATTGTTACAGTTGGATGATTGTTCATAGAGAGACAAGGAAATAAGACAACAGTATAGAATATGAACATAGTGCAAACCAATCACCAATGAGCAAATTAATGAATCTGCAGAGTGTGTACATTTGTACATGTGTGTTATGTCCAAAGATACAGTCTTAGATATGCTGTACTATGTACTCATACATCCAAAGCCATTCACACTGAAACCATAAGTTATTCTCTTTTGCAATCGCCCTCCCAACCACAGGGGCCACTGCAGCTACAGTCTATAACTCACCAAGATCCTTAGAGCCGTGACTCTCGCTGGCCAGCTCTCCCATCCGCACCAGTGCGTCGAAGTAGCCTTTTGCTGCAAATGTCACACCTGGAAACATGGAAGCATTGGGGACATAAGAATCGGGGTTGTGCTAACTTGCTGACCCGAAGCTTCCCTCAACCCACAGGTGCAGCATCTATGAAAACAGGAGTGGTGGATGGGAAAGCTTTAAGCTCTATGTTCTATGATGTCTCGGCCAGAGAACTGGGGAGGTGGGGGTGGAGCTTGTGATTGGTGAGCAATGAATAGCAAAAGTACTATTACTTTAAAATAATAATAAAAAAAAGTTTGATACCCTCCAAAACTTAACATTCACATCAGATTACTGAGAGCAATCACTCATTCTGTGTGAGGTCCCGCCACAGGGACAGCTGTGCCTCTTCTGCGTCACCATGGAAGAGAAGGGCTGGCTCTGAAACAGGCTCTCTCGGAGCCAGAGGATCATGGCAGTTTAGCGAGGCGGGAGAGTGCCAAGAAGCACAAAGTATCTTGGAGCACAGGGAAATTTAGAACCAGAAGGTACTGAGCAAGTGGTTAGCGAAGGTTAGCATGTGTAGCAGAGTAGAATAAGCCAAGTTCTTCCTTTACTTCAGTTGATAGACTTCATAATTTTATCAAGTAAGAATCATACAGACCGACACAACATATTTAATTTGATGCAAATATAAAAGGCTATGAGAGATAGAAGTACTCCTCCTGCAACTCTGCAGCTCGTGCTGTATAGAGCAGAGCAGACGCTTTCAGTAATTGTAATATCCTTGGTCCAACTAAATTAAATGGTTTTTATTGTATTTGCGGTGTCGCGGCGGGCAAGTAATGTAATCGATATATGGCCAAACACCGTGTAACACCGGTAACACTGAATACCGCAGCAAGCCTACTGTGAATGTTCATCATTTTTACATTTTAATATGAGCTTTGTCACCATCTTACTTTGGCATTAATCATTAAAACACAAAAAAAGTAATAGCACTGTAAAACATTGTAATCTTTAGCAAATCTCAAAATTAATATCCATTTTCATCTGTAGCCTACATTATAATGTTGTGACATCTAAATTCACTTGTAGCATTTAAAAACATTTGAATTTAGTGTTTTACTTTTAATTTATTTAGAACAAAATAGCGTAGAATTTTAATATGAGCCATTTATCAGTTATCAGCCATTAAATGAAAATGCATCTAATTCATTACACAGTGAAAGTACACAAGCATTGCTTTCTCAGTGTTGCCACATGTACTTGTGTTGTAAGATCTAAGATCTGTTTCTGTTCTCTGACATTTTAAACAGACCATACTTCTGTCCCTAACAGTTTTGTTGATGCTCACATCAAATTAAATATGCTGTATGGCCATCCCAATTCAATGCAGAAGGAGTGTTTGGGTGGGGGTGGTTAGGTTACACCAATGGCAGCCCAGTCACATATGAATGTATAGACTTATTTCCTAGTGTCCGCACAAATCCTATGCTCAGGATAAGGTGCGTCCTGGTTGTGAGGGATTAGAGGGGGAAATCTGGGGGCTTTGGTGCTCCAGCGGTTAGGCTGAGTGGTGAGGGGTAAAGAAACGAGAGAGGCAGCAGAAGGAAAGAGGATTACAGAGGTCTGAAAAATAGGACAGAAAGTCTCTCCAACCATCTCTGAGGAAACACTGATCAGCCACAAGAGACAATCCAGTTAAATCCAAGTTAAAAACCACAGAAAAGCCCAATCTATACCCTGTTATAACGTTGTCTATATGTGATATTCTTCTGCTTAATGCATATAGAAGTCTCCATTGAATACAGATGTTAAGGTCTTTGGTCACTAATTATTCTTATTCTAATAACATGTTTAACCTCCTAACCCTTTCAATCCTCTATTTCCAAGAATCCTCCAACACTTCCAAAAAACAGGCAAAGGGGGAGATACTTTAGGCTTAACAGCTGCTTATGCACAATACATCTCAACATAATCATCTACTTTAGGGCATGCAAATGGGCCTCCAAGATCAGCAAGCCACTGTTGAACATTAGCAGCCAATGTTTCTTTTTTGTACTAAGATATTTCATTATCTTCAAACAATCTATTAGTTTTACTATAGGTTACTTGCATTTGCCAAGCAACCCAAAAACTTGCTAATGCCCAGTGGCCACCATTTGTATCATTAGTGGGTACTGTGGAGGTTTTCCACTCTGCTGCCTCCAAGACCTGGCATATTTACAACTCCGGCAAATCCCCATGAGGGATTCTGCGAACATCCATAGATCTACAAGGATGGGAGCACAAATCTCACTCTAGTTGGGTCTATTTTTAACTTTATCTCTCAGACTTCACACTCTCGCACACATACACACACTCTCATGGTCTATCCTCCAGAGCGTTGGTCTTTTTCTTGTATTTTCTGCCTCATAAAATATTAGATGGACTCTGGAATGATGAGTGAAATTATTGGTTCTCTGCCGTTCTTGGCACAGTGCTAAAACTCTACAGGGATTTGTCCTGAAACTTCAGCCCCGTCCGTGGGCCTAAACTGAACACAGGAACACTGTACACATCATACCCTGAGATCAGACAACGTGGCACCATTATTTACCTGATTATAATGCAAATCCTATGGGTTTAGCATATGTTTAAAACCGTAAATCTCCCTAACAATGTAATCTAACCAGAATCAACATTTTAAAAGGGACAAGTAATTTAAAAGTTATCTCTTTCTCTTTCAAAAATGTTTCTAACCAGCCACGATCGCGATGAGTGACACCAGATTTTGTCTGCTAGTTGTTGTTTTTTCTCTCTACTGCATCGCGCCATGGAGCCTCACACACACCGAAATCTCCCTGGACTGAAATACTACTCCTCATACATATTAAACATCAAACATGGACGAGGAGACACTGAAGAGACTGAGAATCGGATGTTATATTGGATATTAAATAACAAACTGAAAAAGCATGAAAATGCAAGGTTTGTGTTCTTATTTTTATGCTTAATTGTGCTGTGAGAGCAAGAGAGTGCACAAACGGCGGAAACTGTTGTAATTGGCTGTTTTGTGATCGATTAGGTCACTTGTTTGATTTTCATCTTTAGTATGGATAGACAAATTGCTTTTGTTCAAATTGATTTTGTTGTGTCGCACCTGGTTAGGGTTTGTCATAAAAATCAGCTTTTCAAGAGTTATGAATGAGACAATGTTAGTAATTATTAATCTCAGAATAAAGCATTGTGAAAGAAGCGATGCAGAAAAGGGCATTTAAGTGTTGCATTGAATACCAAATAACTGTGCTACCTATTGTCATTTTTGCCATACTTCGTCCTCCTTGCAGAGACATACCATTCTTGTCCTGAATATACATCTTCCCTGTTCCCTTTTCGCTTCCTTTGCGGGACTGTGTCTGCTCCCAGAGCTCTCTCTGGCCTATTTACGCCTGTTCTCTGTTCCATTTTACTCTCCCTTCCTCCCAGTGCATATTTTTTCTCTGAAATGCCTACGTCCTTGCCATTGCCCAGTCAACATCTTGAAAACACACACAGAGGTCAGTACATCATCGAGTGTCATGTGTGTGTTACATGTATGTGACAGGTCTGGAGATGCTACATGCATGAACCAGATGGAAGTTTAGGGGGTTTCAGGGTGCATATGGATTTAGACATGTAACATTCTATGACATCATTAGTACGAAGGAACAGGAAGCCTTCCGCCCCACAAACATAAACATAAATTCTTAACAAACATTCAACAAACATTTAAACAACATTCTACTAGATTTCTATGCAAGAATTTGATTCATGCTCCCCATAAGCATGAATTTCAAGCAATTTCTTCTCATAAATTAAAGCAGACCAATGAAACAAGAGCTTGAATAGCTGGCTCATTGCCTGCAAGAGTGATAATGAACAAGCCGCTGATGTACTCACTGGAGAGGGCCTTCTCATAAGTCTTCCCCATGGCAACAAAGTTCCTCAAGCAAGGGTTGAACTGCTCCATGATGGACTGCAACAGAAATAGCACAGCTTTAGTCAGCACAACAGCAGCAGTTTAACAGGCATACTCACCACTAGCAAGAACATCAGTGGGACAAACACAAAAAGATGAATGGGAGGTCACATCTTTAAGGATGCAGATAATTGACAGGTGAACTTCTAATTCTAAGCCTCAACTCCATATTACAATAAAAGTTCTGTCTGTTGATGCAGTGCATGTGCAGATACCAAGAAAGATGGATATAGAGAGAGAAGGAGCCAGAGCTCTCACGCCCCCACTTTTCAGAACACTCTCATTAGTGGGACTTGGAGGGCATCATGCCAGCTGGGATTTGCCGTTCTTTTGTTGCTGTGAGCACAGAATTGTGGGAATATGTGGAGATCTACCCACAGCGTGACTCACCTAATCCAACATTAAGAGTTGCCCTTTCAAATCTATTCATTTTCTATTGAAACTACTCTTTTTTAAAAAGAGCTTCGCTGCTCCATTCAAAGTAAAATCTCTCAACTTGACGAATTTTTTTGAGCACGTTTGCCCCAATGTCCCATTTGTTCCTGTTTTTAAAGGCTTTATCGCAGCTTCCAAAATAGTAGGGCGACATATAAAATAGTATACAAGGAGACAGAATCTAGGAAAGCCAAGAAGAGCAGAGGATGTACAAAAAAACAACCAGCAATCAAGCACTGTACAACACAAATATTGTGGCAGCTATGGAGAGAGAATGAAGCTATGTAAATGAAAGTCTCCACTCTGGGTTTTACAGAATTGGAGTGAAGCTGTTTATGTGATTAATTAAGGTCGACGGTAACTGATTTCTTGGGAATATACTAAATCCCCGCCACCCTATGCTCCAGTTACAATGAAAACAGGTTTCCAGTGAAAATGAGGACAAAGGCAGAATGTTTTTTTGCTGCAGAGAAAATTGTGATTCAGAGGTCTTGAGGAATGGACTGTCAAAAAAAAGGAATAAACAAAATACCTCAAAGAGCATGCAATTAATAACATTTATATCGAACTAGTAAAAGGACAATATATCTAACTAGATGCTTTGGCTCTTTAGATAAAAGGCATTGGCAAATCTCTACGCCCACTAGGCCCATTAACAGAATTGGACATTAGCCATTTTTCAATATTTGTCTGTACATTTATTGTGTAAATATTATTTCTTTCAAATAAATGTTTCATTTCAAACTTTGCAAATATGCCAAACTTGTACAAACAGCTAAACAATGAGGAAGATGAATAAGAAAGAGACAAGGCAACTAAATCAACTCCAAGTGAATCATTCATAAACCTCCTTGTCTTTCTCTCACCGTCACGTCTTATCTAACACAATATCCCAACTCACAATTATTTCTTATGTAATTCATCATCTACTGCATGCAATCATACAGCAGAGTCTGTCCAGGGGTAGTAATCTTCATTATTAAGTCTTTAAAAAGGAAAAAGGAAACACAGACCCAGAAATAGGCTAAACACCAACAAAAGAGATGAGATCAAATAAAGGCACAGGAGAAATTCCAGGTTGGATGCAAAGCAAGCACAGCTGGCATGTTTTCATCAAGGAAGGAATTACACAATCATAGTGTGATGGATCTCACTGCACCACATGCCTAAGAGATGAGAGTGCATGATCGTATGACTGAGGTGAAAAGTGCGACTGGTATTCATGCAAGGACCAGGGTGAAGCTTTTGCATGTCAAGTTTTGGTAAACAATCGTGAAGTGTACCATTTAATTTCTGCACATTTTGAAAACCCATTTATGATCAGTATAATGTCCAGAAGAATGCATTGCAAAAATATCCAGAATATCCAGAATGCATTGCAAACCTTAAAATCTCATCTTTTCTATGCTGTAGACCAAGCCATTAAATTGAACCAAACTGCTTTTCCTCTCCTCAACATTTCCCACAAAGCTCTGTCCTAAAGAAATCAGTATTATACATGAACCAGTGCCAAGCTGATGTCCACCCTACATTTAATCATTAAAAACACACCGCTGGGAAAACTTTCTTTCCTTGATTAGTCCCACAGCAATCAATCTAGGTTTAACAAACATGAACGAGACCAACCAAACCCCCGATAAGGGTGTCTCTACCAGACACTAAACACAGATTACCATGTGATTTTCCCAGCACTTCATTACAGACATGTTCATTAGGATGTAATTAATAGTCTTAACTAATGAGCAAGATTTTATATTGATGCATTATCAATCAGCTGGACTGCCGAAGGGAATTTTATGCTCCCCCCTGAAATGAAGGTGTGCATATTTTACAGTATAAAGTACAGAACTAGATATGCATGGTTTCGTTAGATAATACAAATGCTCACCGAAGAAGAGAGTGTATAATTTTCCCTTTTTTATAAAATAGTGCAGAGGATCAAATGAAGCACCATTTCCACATTCCATTAACAGATATCCAACCACATCAGCAGAAATGTACAGCATTTGTGGCAAAAATGTTCAGTGCATCAATTCTGTTACCACTTTTATTTAACTTTACCCTGAGAATGCCTTGATAAACCAACTAAAGCATAAGGTCCCTTTGAGAATATGAATGAGTCCCTGCCTCAGATTTTCTCTGTGCACATGCAAACAGACTGGCTTTGTCATGGTAATACGTTGAGAATGGTTAGTATTTGTTGAACAAGCAAGGTTGCCTTATTTACCACAAACACACCCTTATATCAACAAACCTATATATAAACCTGCTACAACACACACAAACCTGTGATGTGAAACTATTGCTGCAGTCTCAGACAGCTTGGATCAGATTGATGAATATAATCAACTCTTATGTCAGTGTTTGTGTGTGTGTGTGTGTGTCAGTCCTATAACAATCTATACTTGAGTGTCAGGTGGGTGCACAGGAGCCCGTTTTCATCTTTATGTCATCAACATAAACATAGTTAAAGGAGAACTCCGGCGCAAAATGAACCTTTGGTCTAATTACACATTGTTACCTAGTCAACCGTTATCTGACATTTGTTTTCATGATTATCGAATGTAAATAGTTTTATCTCTAAAAACAGTTTAGCCTATAAAGCTAGTATAACGCTAGTATATTGGGCATAGTGTAATGACAAATAAAAATCGCTTGTTAATACCACTAACAAGGCTCAAAATAGCCCCACACTAACACGGTAGCATAATGAGGGTCCCTACCTTCAAACCGAAGCATTGAGAACTTTGTCAGTGTCCAGACAGTTTAATAAGAAGATATTTTATACATACAGTCAACTTCGCGTATACAGGCAGAAGCCATCTTTGAAATACAGTCTTTACCAGTCGATCTACGAATGCCGATCCAAGCCTACTGTTCGCGCTCACCTTATCACAACTTATAGCTCGTTCACATCTCACCAGCGCACTTGGATCTGCGTTCGTAGATCAACTGGCAGAGACTGTATTTCAAAGATGGCTCCTGCCTGTATACGCGAAGTTGACTGTATGTATAAAATATCTTCTTATTAAACTGTCTGGACACTGACAAAGTTCTCAATGCTTCGGTTTGAAGGTAGGGAGCCTCATTATGCTACCGTGTTAGTGTGGGGCTATTTTGAGCCTTGTTAGTGGTATTAACAAGCGATTTTTATTTGTCATTACACTATGCCCAATATACTAGCGTTATACTAGCTTTATAGGCTAAACTGTTTTTAGAGATAAAACTATTTACATTCGATAATCATGAAAACAAATCTCAGATAACGGTTGACTAGGTAACAATGTGTAATTAGACCAAAGGTTCATTTTGCGCCGGAGTTCTCCTTTAAAACAGCCGTGTGGCCACTGATGTGAGTTGCAGAATTGCAGTCTGGTAAAAGCTTCCTGCTGTTCAGCGTTATGTAATGCTCTTGAGTCCTACGGCCTCAGGACAGTTGAGTAGCGAAATGGATAATGATGATGTATATTAATCAGTGTGTCTGAATAGGTTTTTGAACCCAAATGTCAGGGGTTGATATTAAACGACTAACCTTCTGTTCAAAGCATTGCATTAATTATATTATTCTGTGCTGGAAATAAACTAAAATTAAATGCTAAAATAATTAAATTTATTAGAATGATAGACAGTTGGCCTCAAAAAGTATTTGTACACTTACGTAACACTGTATAAATGTCACTGCATGACATTCATACATTTTTAAATGTGGCTTAAAACGATTGGGGCCACTATATAATTACAAATTGACAAATTTGCAACTTTATGCAATTCTGCAAGTATATAGAGAACAACGAAGTAAACGTGCGCAGGGAAGATTAACTCGCTAAATAACTAAGCTCAAGGTGACCCAGGCTTGCATTTTTCTAACTGGAGACATTTTCGCTTGTTCAGAAAGAACGCTTGCACCCTCAAACACTATCATTTACACATTGTAAGATTACTAGTAAACAAAACATTTCAGCTTTGTCACAAACTCAGACACTTTTTCTAAGAGATGTAAAAACAATAGGCAATTCACGCACCTCCTACATCCATATAATTCTACAGAGACTTCATGTGTGTTGTTTATATTACATGTGTATTTAAACCACATAAACCCTTGTTTATCATGCAAAATGATTCCTTACCATATACATACATATTGTTCTATATCTACCCATCTACATATCTACCTATCTACCTATCTATCTATCTATCTATCTATCTATCTATCTATCTATCTATCTATCTATCTATCTATCTATCTATCTATCGTATACTTACATATCTTGTTCTGTCCTAAGTCGGAAATACATGATAATTCACCCTATGTATTTATAAAAAGCATGTTAATGACTTTATTGTAACTAAAATCATATTTTTTTTATTTTTTTTACCTTCTAATTCTTAATCATAATGTCACAACTCGATCTTCCGGTGAAACAACAGACTTCTCTCTGGTGACTGAGTATTACAATCAACTACAAGCTCGCATTCAGCCGATTCTCCATCCAATCAACAATAGATGTAAAGAAGTCTGAACCTAGTTTTGTCTTTTTAGATTTCTTTCGAATGTATGTCAC